CCTGTAGTTAGCCGAACTACGTTGACTCTGACTTTCCCATTGCACGGTGGAATACGTAGGCACAGAGCGGCGATGCTCTGCCGAGTCACTTTCCTTTTATTTTGTCCCTAAGACCTTTAGCGTAGATAGTTTCAATCACCCATAGATAAACAACTAAGCATGGATCCTGTCGAGTACGACGGACGTGAGGGGTGTTAATACCTTCCCCTTGTGTAACCGACTCTCGAACCCGAGATTTGGTTGCAATGACCAATCTTATCCCGTTTCCGCAGGTTTTCCATAATCGTTTCCTTTCCCTCGGTTGGGATAAATAACGAACAGTGGCGACACTTCTGTCATTGCCGGCACCTTTTTTGTAGTAGCGACATATACTATGAACACAATCGAATTAAGCGAACGATTGTAATCAAATTGAGCAAATGATTTCATAAAAAAGAATTGAACAGAAATTGAATTAAATTGGTATTATACTAACCTCAAAATGATGGAACCCGTAAGCAGCAGAATTTGCCTTAGGAATTAGTTTTTCATGAAAATCGTATAAAACACAATGAAATTTGTAAAAAGAAGGTAAAGTGACAGTAGTACGGCTGCTAGGTATAAGAAAGCATCAACACTTCTGGTTTTAACCCAATTGGGTCGAAAAACATTAAAAAACCCGGCCCAAAACTAAATATTTCAAACGACAGATTTTGGGTCCTGACTTCAACAAATTATTTGGACCTGCTACACTCCGAATCATTCTCTTCCTCAAAAATAAAAGTTGTAGCTCTCTGTCTTAGCTTTCTAATGCCTATTTGAATGAGCAATTCCGATTCTTGCAGCTCCAGTTATGATTCAAACAGTGGATAGGTATCAAATAACCGCTAAAGCTGAAAAGAAGCTGCGAAAATAAAATAAAGGTAAAAACAAACTTAAATATGAAAACACATTAAAATAGTAAAAATACTCAAATAAACGGTAGGAATGTCTAAGTATAACAATGGAAGAATGTGTATGAAGATGTACTGATCAATTATGATTGCCTGTGCCTAAATCCAAAGGAAATGTCTTTTGTTGACTTTATGTCATAGGTAGCTTAGCCTAGCCTTACCTTTCCCTTTTGACCTTGTTAGAGTCATTAACCTTTCAACTTAAACTTAGGATATAGTTTGTAAACTCTATGTAAATGTCATTGCTATGAACGCTTATTTTCCCTTTTGACCTTGTTAAAGTCATTAGCCTTTCAACTTAGACTTAGGTTAGAGTTTGTAAACTCTATGTAAGTGTTATTTTTATGAACACTTACCTTCCCCTTTGAACCTTGATCACTATCAAGTGTTTTTCACCCTTGTTTAGTTGAACTATGATTGCTTTGATTTCATCCCTGTTACGATAGTAGGCACAAGACCACGAAGTTTTGACGAACATACTTAGTAAAACCTCTAGGTATTTCCCGTAGAGCATTTCTCATCAATAGCAAACAAATTATAGTGTAACACAAATACAACAAGAGGTTCCTATAGAGTATTATAGATACTTAGGGTGTTAATACCTTCCCTTAGTATAATCAACCCCCGAACCTTAAATCTCTTTGCATTGTTGTTACATTACACACTTAGGATTTTATTCGATCTTTTCCCTTTCCTTTGGATAAATTAAAGTTTGGCGGTGAACATTTAAAGATTTGTTATTCAAGTTAATACAATAGCTTGATATTCGATTCTCATCGTAACAGAAATGACGACTTCACAGGGGAGATCTCCCCTAAGAGGGTTAAGCATATCTTGTTTGTATTTGTGTTATTTTCCTTATGCATGACTAAGTATGTGAATGATTGCATGCTGATAATCATCAGTTAGTATGATTGTATGCTACTAACTATGAGCTGTTGAGTGCCATGCATGACTAAATTGTGAATAATTGTATATATGTCTGATTGATTCTAAAGCATTATTTTGTGTGGCATTTGTGATGAATGATATTGATTTTCGCTGCTGAGCTTATCTCTGATATTTGGAGAACTGCTGATAATTGTATGTTTTGAAGTCTCTCACTTGTTCTAGTCTGAATAACTGTTATGTCTTGAAGATTTGATTTTCCATAATTTATCAAAGGGGAGATTATTGTGCCTATTGGATTGACCATTTGGATTGGCTGCATTTATCAAAACAACAACATGGAGGAGTGTCCAAAGTGTTCAAGATTAATCTAGCTTGCTTAAGTTGTATGGAGGTGCAGAAGGGAGACATGTTGGACGGGATGGTCCAACATGTTGGTGCGACATCTGGGTTTTGCTCAACACGCGCCAGATTGTTGCGTTTTGAATGAATCTTTTGAGAAGATTCAGTTATATGTTATTGCTTTATTTAGAAATATGTTTATATGTTTTGTTGGACAATTGTGAAGATCAAATCAAATTTAAAGAGAACTAAATTTGAATTTGTAACAAACCAAATCATATCTTATTATTCGAGATAATCGAGGAAAAAATCAAATTTCCAACAGATTCTGCATTAATTCTGGACGAAATTAATGATATTATCCAAGGAGAAAAGCCTAGAGCTATTATGCTATATAAAGAACTCAAACCTACATTGGAAAAAAATCATTCACATTGAAGATTTTAGAGTGTTAGGATTTACAAGAATACTTGTTATGTACACCTTTATGTTTCAGTAACTTGGCATAAAAAGTTTGTCTAGTTGAGTTGTATATTCAACATTATTATATACACCTTTATATTTTAGTAACTTGGCATATAATGTTTGTCTAGAGTTTAGTGGTAATATTCAACATTGATTATTGGGTTGTAATCTCCAATTACGGGTTGTGTGATTGAGAAGAAAGTGTGTAGATTCTCATGTTTAGGGGGAACCCTAAATAGAAAGTCATTGGATAGTGTTAGGAAGAGACATTGAACAACATATGATTTGTTGTTGCTTGTAAGTCTAATTGTACTAACCTACTAATAGTGAATGTCCTTTATTGGGTTGTAGACTTAACCCCCTCAAACGTAGGTGTTGTTTGCATCGAGTTGGGTAAACAATTATTGTGTTATTTATTACTTTTCTATTCAATCATCTTGTACTCTTAATCTACCAAGGTTATGGTTTATGTTGTTGAACCAATTGTTTAGGACATCGTGTTCGACATCTGTCTCATGAGGTACAAAGTTTCACATTTTAAGTTACTTTTCACTTCATATGGGTTCCACATCCTTACTATTATATCATTTGCTACTTAAAACACTCATGTACATGCATGCGACATCACACGTTTTCAACCACCACTTTTCCAGTAAGTGTAAGTCAATCTCAAACCTTTTGTCATACCCCCGATAAAAGAACAAACCAAACTAGTCGATTATCTAGCCGAAATAACATCTAACCACAAATAGTATCATGAAGTCATCTCCACATCCATTTATATAAAATAGTTAGATTAATAAGGGGCATATCTTTAACCCCCAAATTTTCCTCACTATTCGATCAACACACATCTGACCACAAAATCTGAGATTTTGAAGTTGCTTTTAGCACCTCGCTAGAGAAAGCTCCTTTAGAATCTCACCAAAATCTTTCAAACTTTCACAGGTAGTTTTAAGAATAAAAGAAAGAAAATAAGAATGAATTAAAGACAGTTTTATAGGACCACTCTACCACCCAAACAAATATATTTATTCCCCGAGGAAAGAGGAAGCAAGTCTGTTGTAAATGCTTAAAATAAAAGCTTTTCTAATAAACTCTTTATGGGGATTAACACCAACCAAAAAACCAGGGTCTATTTGGATGTGAAGAGAAGTATAAAAGAGAGAAAGATATGAGAAAGAGTGTGAAAAGAGAGAAAAAAGAGAAATAGTGAAGAGAGAATAATAATAATTTAAGGAATTGACAATATCATCCTTATTTTAAAAAGTCATCCTCGTCACATCTGTTTTTCAAAAAATTGCCAATTATATAATTTGTTTATTATAATTTATAATTTAATTGGAATACATTGACAATGTACAAAAATTTTACAGTCAATCATAACCATTAAAATTTTATAGATGTTTGATTTTTTCTTTAATCACATATAAAGTATCATTATATAAAATATCACTTGTAGATGGTTGTGATACACCAATTGTTTAAAATATTTTACATTGTAAATACATAACAATTATTCTCTATAGTTTATTTGTTAAATTAATTAAATAAAAGAGTTGCAAAAAATTGAAACTTTTAATTAAAATAATAAAATTAAAAATTAAACTCTGTTTGGATAAAATGAAACAAAGTCTATTTCTTTTATTTTGTACAAAATAAAAATTTATCTCTTTATATCTACAAAAGCTTGAGACATTGAAATAGAAAAAAAAAATAAAGCTTTGCATTCATGAAATGTTGCATAAATTCACTGTGCATGAATAATGACAGTAGTTGAATGAATAAAGGGTAAGATAGGAAACACAAAAGTGCTCTTCAGTTTTGAGAAGAAATGAAAACACGGTGGGGCCCACATCAAATAAGTCTCTCTCTCCAACTTCTTTCCAAACCAAAATGTGAAGTATGTATATGTAGCTCGTGATGTCACAATGATTCGCCTTCTCATTTCTTTCCATCTCCCTCTAGAAAAAAATAGTAAAGAATTTATCACTAGTAATTTATCATCTGAATCAGCATTGTCCTAAAAATTCATACGCAATTCACAACAAATGCCAACTTTTCAAGAATTGTATATAAGAGAGAGATAGATTATTGAGCGCAATCTATAGTGGAAAGAATTTTTATTGAATATATACCTAAACTTTTCATGTATCCAACCCTGCTGTTGAAAAACAAAAGTATGATTATACATATATGTGGGTTTTACATATTCCAAAACAACAAGATAAATAATAGAACAAAACTTGTTTTGCTTACAAAGACTTAACAAACATGGTAGAAGCAAATTGTTTCAATTAAAGTTTCCTCATATTTCCTTGTCTATAAGTTGAAACTCACTTAGAAATATTCTATCTATGTGTACTCACTAATTCAGGAAGCCTGTCCTACTGCATGTTCCATCTCAGAAAACCATTTTCCAATCCTTGTGTGCTCTACCATATCTCGACCCGACTTGAGGTGGCGGATGGGTCTTAGAACACCAAAGACTGCAAGATCTGCTAAATTAGGTTCCAAATCACCTGCCAAAATTAAAAATTATAAACTCATATGAGTCTTTATCGTAACGTATATAACGTTTATTGAGCATATTTCAATCTCAATTATGCTCATTCATGGAACTCGACATACCAAGAAACTTTCGGCCCTTTAAAGCATCAACCCATTGTTCAGCAGCTCCATACAACGCTTCACGCTCATCAGTGATATTGTGTTTCTTCTTCAATTTCTTTGACACGAAATACATAGCAGCAGCCCCACCATACTTTGCCACTAACCTCTCATATAAACTGAAATTGCCTGCATATTTAGAGAAAAATAAAAAATTCTTTACACTTAAAATCAAACTAGACTTAGTATAAGAAACAGAAAATGAGAAAAATAAAAGGATGCGGCAGACAGTGAAGGGGAATGATAAAGTAATCACCCTTGTAATGATTGATAAATCTTTCTTTTTGAAAGCCTAAACTAATGTAGCGATACTTTTCAAGCTGAGTGTGAAAAGGAAGAACATAAAATGAGGTGCACATTATTCTGCGGTGCATTGAAAGGAAATACCACTCTCCCTCTATCAGTATCCTTTTAAAACATACTTCTCCCTCTACTGGTATCCTTTTAAAAAAAATGTCTTAGTTGAACAGGGCTTACTTAAGTTTGAACCAAGCAAACCGGATTGATGAATCAGGAGGTAAGAAACGTCATAAATCCAACAGTTCAATATACATTCCATAGTTCATTATGTTCACAAATTTGCGTGAAATAACTGAATATAAAGATTGTTCAGATTTTAAAAACTAATTCTTTTGACATCTGGAAAATGAGAAAGTGAAATATACTCGACGTATGTAAAAAAAACTATTAGCTTTTTGAAAATTTATTTAATAAAGTGACTGTTCACAAGATACATTTGTAGTCAAAAACCTACCTTTAGTGGTGATATAATCAAATGATTCAAGAGCTTCTGAAACAGTCCGATATATGTTTGGCGACAAAACATGCACTAAGTGATTATCCACCCACCTACATAACAAGACAGAGCATAGCCCTAGTGTCATAAATCAAGGTCAAAGCCATATGTACTTAATCTTACATCTACTATTACAAGAAGGAAGTACAGCTAATATTTGCAAAAAAAAAAAAAAAAACAAGACTCCTAATAATGGCAGCAATATCCATGGTTTCAAATTGCAGTCTGCAGCTACCTTGTAGCTGCAAGTTGTGGCCATGTCAGTTGTATTTACCCACAACTCTACAATCGTTAACATAACCACAACCGCAATTTAAAACATTGGCAATGGTGCAAGAGCAACCATATTTTAACCAAAGAATATAGATTTTTTCCTAGTGGTAAGCCACAGAGTAGAGTAGTTCAAATCAGAGTAGTCATTTCCGGATAGAGGCGCAGAGTGGCCAACCCCAAGAGTGGGATAGCGGGATAGTGTATAGCAGGATGACCGCACTATTTGATCAATTTTTGGACAAATTACATATAATAATTATAAACATATATTTAATGTAAAATTAAATAAATAACTCAATTCATAAAATATTCATAAACCCAAGCACACATGACTCTTGAAGTGCATAAACGACTCTGAGGGACTCAACTCATAAAATATTCATAAATCAAAGCACACATGACTCTTGAAATACATAAGGACTATGAGGGAAGGTTAAGGTCGAGTCTCAACTCAACTTCGATTGAAAAATCCAAATTTACCCTTAAAATGTTGTAAATTTAAAGGATAATTTTGGTTTTTTAGATGGGAAAAGAATATTGGGTCAGAAACCGCTTCTGGCCAGGAACCGCACTGCTCCGCTATTCCGCTGTTTACCCTATAGTGGCCACTAAATTGTTCTGCACCAATAAGGTTCTTTCCACATTGGTGGGCCTCCGCTCCGCTATAGCGGGATTGCGTTGCTATTGGCTGCTATCGACTACTCTGGTTCAAATAAACAAGAAATGATTAGAAAAACCTACCCGCGCCACTTCTTCTCTTCATCGGCATTTAGGTCATAATCTGGATGTATCCTTTTGACCAATTTATCAATTATGTCTGACGAAAAGGCGCAAAATTCACATTTCAGAACAATATTCTATACACATGAACAATACACAATATACCACAAATGGAAGTATTAATAAAAAAATTATATGAACCTGAAGAATCAACCAATTGTTCACCATCAACAGTGACAATAGGCACTTTTTTGTAATCAGACCATTTAATTTCTTTCTTGTTCATTGGATTAACTTCCACCACTTTGTACTTAATATCATAATAATCTAGAAAAGCTGGAGAGAAAAAAAAAAAGCAAGAAATTACGAAATTCATAGCGCAAAGATTAGAACTTAAATTTGTCAATGAAATTCCAAACGTTTAATCATGTAAAGGATAAACAAACAATTCCAACAAAAAATTACCTTTAACCTTGTTGCAGAAGGGACAAGCTTCATACTGAAAGAGAACAACTTCTTTGGGATTGAAGTGATTTTGTTCTGAGCCTGTTGCTTTGAGATCTTGCTGCGCAAGAGACGTGGCAGTAGGAGAACCGTAATACCTGAACCCTACGGCGTTACTTCGAATAGCTAGGGCAGTTGATAGGCCGGAGTGATCAATGAGATTTCGAGGGTTGGAAGAAGTCCAGCATGTTGTGAGATATTGAGCTGCTCGCGGTGGTCGGAGGAGAGGGGTTACGGCGGTGGAGTTGGCTTTTAGCGCTCTTGCGACGGATATAGCTCCATTGAGACCTCTCATCGTTGAATTTTTGGTGGAAATGGTTCCGGCGGGGTTTAGGGTTTTGTCCTTTATTTTCTGCAAATAATATCTTCATTTTAAGCTTAAGCTACCCATTATTAAAACATGTAACCGATCATCATAATTTACCCTTATACAAATATTACCTTATGCCTAATGAAAGGACTTTATAGTAAATAACATATTCCATTGTTTTTCCAATCAAATAACTTTCTAATATTACTTGTCACTTTCTTATTGGTCAACTTTTTACTTTATTCTTATTGATTTATTATTCCCTTCTTTTTCTTGTATCAACCATCCCTCTCTTTTTATATCATTCATATTGTCACTTCCTCTTTTCTTAGTTTCACCAACTTCAACAAAAACCTCAAGAATAAATATTGTCACAACAATCTCATTCACTCTACTAATTCATCTTGTTTGCATTATTTTCTAAGATAAGATCTGACTATTTCTTGTTGAAGAAAAATATACAACGATTTAGTCAACTCGTATAACAATCTCACAGTAAACGGTTAAGGTTGCACATTTGTGTATGAATGTTTGTTGTTGTTGGTGGTTTTGAAAACGTTCTTCAGATCCGAGCTTCTAAACCATTCTTTCCTGGAATCGAGCATATGTGATTTTAATGACTTCTAATCGATTTGAAGTTTATTGTTCGAAAATATTTGTTTCTGGTTTTTATTCATGTTTTTTCTAATGCAATGTTTATGTTTTTTAAAAATGTTTGTCTCATTCTTCCATAACATTATCTTCTTTTTTCAAAACTTCCACTTGTTCTTCCAATGGAGGAATCTCTTCCAATGCCTCAAGTTCTCGTAAACAATTTTCAATTTCTTTTTCTTCGTTCATTGAGAACATGAAGAGCATTAGTAAGAACTTTTTCTAAGGGGGTAGAAACGTGTACTTGCCTTTTTACCTCTTTTATCACCTCATTAGTTGCATCAAGTCGAAAACAATCACTTTTGTCTTTAGAATGCTTTATGGCTTTGAATAAATTGAAGAAAACCTCTTCATCTTGCACTCTTACTTTCATGAGACTGTCATCGATATTTATCATCATTCTCGCGGTCTTCATAAAAGGTCGACCAAGAATTAAAAGAGCATCATCGTCTTCCTCCATGTCAATTACCACAAAGTCAATTAGAAACAAGAATTTATCAACTTTTACAAACATATCTTCTGCCACACTATGAGGATGGGTAGTAGATTTATCGGTTAATTGCAAAGTCATTCTTGTTATCTTCAACTCAATGTTTCCCAACCTTTTCACAATGGATAATGGTATCAAATTGATAGTATAGCCCAAATCAATGAAACTGTTGCCAACATAAATATTTCCAATGGTAACCGGTAAGGTAACTCTTCCTGGATCACTTTTTTTTCACGGAAGAGATTGTTGAATGATCGTGCTACGACTAGCGTCAAGAGTTATTGTTTCTTGATCAGTGTATCATCTCTTTTTGGTGAGGATATCCTTCATGAATTTTGCATACATAGGCATTTGCTCTAATGCCTCAGAGAATGGAATATTGATTTGCAATTTGCTAAAAATATCCAAAAACTGAGCATAATGCCTCACGTTGTCCTTCTTAGACGGAGCATGAGGGTAAGGTAAATTTTGAATTGGTATACTGCTCACTTTCTCCTTCCCTTTTTTATTCTTTTTCTTTTTCTCTTCTCTTAATTTCTTTTCTACTTCTTCTTTCTCTCTTTTCTCCTTCTCAACTAAGTCTCCCTCTACATTATTTTCTACTTCACTAGCATCAATTTCTTTTTCTTTTTCAACTACAACCTCATCTTTCTCATTTTCCTCACCAATGCCCATATCAACTTCTCTTCCATTTCTAGTAAGAATAGCTTTGCAATGCTCTTTTGTATTCACTTGAGTGTTTGTCGGAAAAGTTCTTTTGTTTTAGTTGGCTAATTGTTTGGACAATTTCCCCACTTGTATCTCAAGATTCTTAATAGCCGCATCAATACTTTTTTGGTTGGCCATTGACATTTGCATAAATTGAGTGAGTGTGTCTTCCATTTTTGAATTTCCACTTTGAGGTTATGGAGGTTGAATGTGGTTTTGATACGGATTTTGACGATTTGAAGTTTTGGCATCTTGTCTACAACCTTGTCGATAACCTTGGTTATTTCCTCTTTGTTGGTAACCTTGGTTGCCTTAATGGGGAGCTTATCTTGGTTGATAGGCTTGATTTCAATTTGGATTCCACATATAATTAACTTCCTCTCCAACCGGAGGACAATACCCGGTAGGATGGTCTCCCTTGCACAATTCACAACAAGCAACTTGTTGATGCTTACTAGGAATCTCTTGCATCTCCTTTATTTAATGTGGAAGCTTCGATATTTGTTGCGTTAATAATTCCACTTGTTGAGAAACCAATTTGTTTTGAGCAAGAATTACATCATTAGTGCTCAATTCAATAATTCTCAGTTTCCTTTGTGTCGTACCCCGATTGTGTTGGCCTTGATGATCGTTGAGTGTCATTCTATCAATAATTGTTATTGCTTTTTCTGCACTCTTCGACATTAAAGAACCACCAGTGGTAGCATCAAATAGAGTTTTGGGTTGAGGTTGGATTCCATGCAAAATATATGGATTTGAGTAAGCTCGTCAAACCCGTGACTTTGACATTTGCGTAACATAGACTTGAACCGCTACCAAGCTTCATTAAGTGTTTCACTAGCACCTTGAGAGAAAACCGCAATTGTCAACTTCACTTCCATGAACCGATTATGTGGAAAGAATCTTTCAAGAAGTTTTTCCTCCAAAATATTCCAATCAGTCATTGTTTGAGTCGGTTGATTAAGATATCATTCCTTTGCTTTCCCTATCAAGGAGTGAGGAAATAGTCTCTTGAACAATTGTTCCTCTTCGGCTTTTGAAGCTCCTGTTGCACCCGCAATCTCATAGAACTTTGTCAAGTATGTGTAAGGATCCTCGTGATCGAGCCCTGCAAAGGGATTTGCATATATAAGTTGAAGTATCCCGATTTTCATCTCTGAGTATCTTCCATTGTTTGTATTTCTCACAAACTAAGTGTTCCTTCTTGGACTATTTGTACATGGTTCCCTTACGGGAGGTGGAGGTGGATGTGGATCCGCCATGATTGGTGTAGGTATGGGAGTTGTTGGTGGACTACTAGTAGAAATTCATTTGTGCTCCCTTCTTTCCTTAGCTAGTTGTTTTCTTTGTCTAATCTTGCTATTAAGTTTCTACACAGTTCTATCAATCTCAGGATCAAATAGAAATTGATCTGTGGGTACACTTCCTCGCATAAATAGATATCTTAAAAGCTGACCAAGAAAATTTAAAAACACAAGGAATATAAACTGAGAAAATAGATAACAATACAAAGCTTAAAACAAGACAAACTATTGCAATGCTTGCAATATCAATCAACAATCCCCAGCAACAGCGCCATTTTGTTGAAGGTATATTAGGTGGTTAATAGTTTTATTGTCTCCACAAGGATTATCGTGATATTACCGTGTTCTACAATTTATATTATTTTAAGTGAGGGTTTTTAAAAAGAGTTTTGTTTGGTAACATTAATTTCACAAGAGTTTCTTAGCAAAGAGTAAAATGTAAAAGATGTTTGTTTAGAAAGCAAGTCCAGATTAGGTTTGATTAACCCCTTTCATACATATCCTATTAATCAAGCATGTGAACTTGGTTATGATCATTATAAACACCTATCCTCACAATACCTTTTTATCTCTAAAGTGATTTCATGAATATTATTGTATTAGTTACTAGATAATGTCTCATGCTAACAATCAGCACAATAATCATGAAGCTTGATACAAAGTGAATATCGACTCACAAATCTATATCTAGAGTTTGTTCATTAATAGATGAATAACTTAGGTCATGGTTTAAAAAATACCTTTCAATAGTGATTCAAATCAAATATATACCATTAAAAGCAAATATATTAATCATATATTGATCGTCAACTTTGTTCATATACAAAAGATGAAAACAAATACATATTAACAAGGTTAACTACCTCTAATCTTGACACAAACGAGAGTTTAGCTACCCATCACCATGGTAGCTTGAGCAACAAGTAAGAAAGAAAGCTCTACTAGCATCAAATTCGAAAGATCCAACATTAATGCTTCAAAGCTTTTATTTTTACTCCTTTTGAAGTTTTTGAGCTTCTTAACCTAAAATATCTTCTTAAAATCTAAAAAGTGGGATTGTGATCAAAAATATCTTCTAAGTTGCCTTTTATACAAGTGCCTCTAATTGACACCATGTTAAGCCCGTGTAGAGCTCATTTAGTGTAGTTAGTAAAGTATCTCGAGAAATCCTAGAAAGCGCGCTTAACACAGTAAAGTTGGCTAAGCATGGTTTGACACCCTTAACTACTTCCATTATCTTGAAACCGTGCTACATAATGGGCTAAGTGCAATTCATGCTGCAGATTGGGCTTAGCGCAAGCTGGCATGAAAACTTCTTTAAAATCTCTACTACACTTGCTTTTCTTCCTACATAGGCCCCAAGCATCCATTCAAGTGATAAAACCTACAAAAATTTACCAATTTGATCATCCAACAAGCTATTTAAAAGAATAAGCTTGAATTTTTTTATTTACACTAAAACTATGATTTTATCACTACTTTACTATGAAATCAAGTGAAAAAAAGGCCATAAAATAATATCAATTATATACACAATTTGGCCCTTAACAGTTGCATCATGCCATTGTGTTTGGTGATCCATTTGGTCCAAAGCCTTGTGTTATTCATATTGGGTTCGTGACTTCCTAACTCACTCATAGCCCATTTGATTCATCGCATTTGATGCATTCATATCGCTTCTATTCAAGTTTCATGGTTTGCATTCAGGCTCATGGTTCATTCAATTCAATTTGCATCATTCATTCAATAGCATGTTCATTTGTATTGCATTATACACTCCATCGCATTTTCTTTTACTTAAGTTGACTTTTGGTCAACTGTTGACTGTGGTT